AAGGACAGGAAGGCCTGGCGTGATATGGTTCATGGGGTCACGAAGAGTCGGACATGACTTAATGACTGAACAACAACAACATTGCAGATAGGCTGAGGCATGTCTAAAACTACTGAAAACTCACAAAGTGATAGTTAAGCTAAGCTAACACCTCTAACTGTTACTGGCTCTACACTCATTTTTAACATTTCTACCATTAGCTTGATTAAACAGTTTGCCCTTTCTCCTTCTTCCAATCTAGATTATTTACAACCAACTGGACCAAATACCTCAAAAACAGATGATTCATTTGTTGTCCTACTGACTCCATGCACACTGTCATAACCTAGTGGTGCTTCAGTTGAATAGCAGTTGTGAGACTCAGTCTCCCAACAAGTTCCAAGTGCTACATCACAAATTACCAACAGTCGAGTTCCATCTGTTTCACATGGCTGGGAGTACTTAATGCTTGTTCTGTTAAAAAGAGAGAAATATCTGTTTATTCCAAATACTTTTTTCATAGCCATATTTTAGATTAAACTATTTTAGTTACAGTAAAAGGCAAATTAGCTTGTCAACTGGCCTTCCTGTCTTAACCACATCAGTCTGAGCCTTGCTGGTTCTGTTTGGACTGTCATGTTTTATGTAACCATTTGTAAAGCAGGGATATGCAATGTTTTAATTACCAGGACCTCATGTAGTTTTGGGGAATGTATAGGGACTGGGGGAAAGAGAAAAGTTTTCCTGATTAATATTTGTTAGATCTATCTACAAATACACACCATTGTTTCACACACATCTTAAATCATCTTTAAAGGAATTATTCTCTCCAATGGACATTTTATGTCCATTGATTACCTGCTCCCCACTAGCCTTAAGTCAAATGTGAAGCTGAGGCAAAGTGTAAGGATGACCTCAGCAGGAAGGTATGGGCTTCTACCTAGAATCACACTGGCTTTGAGAACTGGCAATTGGTCAAAGTTCTCTAAAGGCTGATCTGAACCCATTCTCTGTCTCTGTTTCTAGATACATTGGGATTACAACTCCTAGAATTTATCTTGTTTGCCATCTTGTTTGGAATGCTGAGAACTGTGGTTCCAACACATCTTGAAGGCATCAGATTTGTCAAGTCTGCTCTAGTCTAATGCCAATTCTCTGTTCATTACACCACCCTGTCCCCCTAAAGTAGGAAATGTAAAAAAATACGCAAACTCATTGCATTTTAGTCCAAATATTACAAAAATGACATATATAGTACTGCTCTTATGAAAAAAAGACCTCAAATGTTACCTTATAGAATTGCTGAAATAAATGCCACTGCCCAAGTACCCAATATCTGTTCTTTCTAAGCCATAGTCTTCGACCACCATCTTTGGCAGAAGGAGTCCTCTAAAAAAATAAAAGATTAGCATGGTAAAACATATTGAGATGCAGGACTCAGTTTCTCAATATCAGCAAATTTATTGTGAACAGTTGCTGTTTTGTGACAGAGTAACTAAGGGGAAAAGGAGTCAACAGCGCATATGGGCTCTAGCAATTTTCTCATTCTCCTTCCCACTTACCTGCATCACGACTGAAAATAATCTCTGAGGACAAAACTACATATGTTAAATGCATAACATGCAACTGCCTTTCCATTTTTTATTTGAGAGAAAATGCATTTATTTGAGAGAAAGTTAACATATTCAGAAGAGAAGGTTTAAACATTTCTTGCTAAATTCTCCTCCCTTGTGTAGGGAGTTGTTTTTTTTTTTAAATCTCCATTGGAGTCAATGGATCAAGTCATCACATGTTTAAGTAAATTTTATAAAGGAATGTAGCTTGAGCCAGAATAGGGGGATTGTAGGAGATCCATTGTTTTAGGTGGAGGTCTCAAGCCTCCTCTCCTAAAAGTACTTCACGCCCTGATCATACCTGACCCTTGGAAAAACAGCTTTGTAATTCTCATTGTCACCAGCCATTTTCCAGAGAGTGCTCCACCTGGCATCAACTCCTCTAATTCCAGAGAGACAGGACTCCCCCATCCTGCTACCTTTCTGGCAATTAGGTAAAAGTGAAAACAAAAATCTGTAGCTACCTCTTAGCTGTATAGAGTCAAGGGACATGACTAGAGCTATCAGCTATTCCACCCCACGGGAGATAAACCAATCGGGCAAGCTTTAGACAAAATTAAATTGTATTAACAAGACAGATAACATTTTAAAGCTTCTTTTAGCCTTAAATATAGAATGTAGATAATCACTATTAAAAAACATAAATTACAGTGTCCTTCTGATTTGGGGATGGAGCAACTGCAAATAAATGGAACAGGAAAAGGATCCAATAGAACATATAAAAATAGATACAAGGATTTCAGCAGTGCATAAGAGCTCACTGATCTGTCCAAATTAAAAAAAAATTGTCTGTAAAGAGACTAGAAAGGGATCTGAAATTAGTATAAATTCCCTGAAAATAAAATTTTTTCTTTAAATCATACAGGGAAATTAGAGACCACTGTCATCAAGAGAAAAGGAATTTAAAAATTATAAACGAGATTCTTAGCTAAAACATTGGTTCTTATTCCAATAGAGACCAGGCAACCCTGGAAACAGATGCTCCCTCTGTTTCAATTGTTACCTAGACATTCCTCTTTCCAGGAAATCCCAATTTAACCAGAAGCTGGTTGGGAATGTTCTCCTCCTTTCCATCATGGCCCATAAGATCAAAGGTTCAAAGAGTTCTGTTTATATGCAGAAGGGGCTGCCTGAGAGAAGATACGTACTAGGTATGTCTGAGCCTGTCAGGCATAGAAGGCTGAGGGCTGTGAACTTTTCACAATGCTGTCATTTTGCCCTATTGCCTTATACTATGTTGCATTTAAAGTAAAACAAAACAAAGCAAACCCACAAAGAGACAGAATATAATTCAAGCTGTTACCGTGAGAGGATTCCCACAAAGTTGCAAGCAGATGATGCATGGAATAAAGACTGAATGTTGCCAAGATTTCCCTCAAAGACCATTCTTTCGGTTATTCTGCTGACTTTATATATCTGCAAAACCTGTATTGGATTTTCACTGCAAAAAAAATCAAAATGAAAACAAATATTGCATTAATTTTCATGTAAAAATGTATAGGCCAGGCCTGTAATTCCAATTACAGAATCCCAAACGCCATTGAAGATTTTGCCTCTTGCAGAGCTTAAAGAAAATAGATTCCCACAAATAAATAGCCATGACAGGATCATAACCTTTTCTACAGCAAGGACTATACATGGCCCTTGAGTGTCTGGCCAAGGGCCACGTTCCAAAAAATAGTGACTGGGGCCAGGATAAACAGTAAATTTAAATTAATTGGATTGTCATCTTCCTTCTTCTCTCACAATAACAATTTCTATTTAGTAACAACTTTTGGACATTTCTGGGAGCCAAACCCTAAAACCTTAGGTTGCATGCAGCTTTCTGACAGGACTGAGCAAGATTTTTTGGATACAGCTAGGGGAAAAACTGTTTTCACTCCACCAGTTGCTTGACCAGCTTCCCTATTTCACAGTCACCAAGTGCGTGTGGTTGTTTTTGTTTGGATTTATTTATGGTTCAGGCTATCATCATCATCATCATCATCATCATCATCATCATCTTCTGGTATAAGGAAGAACATGTAGATAATACGTGGTGGTGCAAGATTTAGGCTTATGCTACAAGCAGAGTCCAGGTAAGAGAAAGCTACTTCATGGCTTCTCAGTCATAAAAATTATACAGTAAGACAGTGCATTTACATGGGGTAGAGTTATTAAAGGAATAAAAGGAAAAGGATTATTACCAGGAGGGATGACTAAAGACCAATAGAACATGATAATTCAATATGGGACTCTGCAGAGTAGGAGCAGTTACTGTACAGTAAGGACTTTTTAGGTAACTGGCATATTTCTTGGTGCCCACCAGACCTGAGATTCAGCCTTACTTAATTAGATTCTTTTGACTTAACACATTTTCAGATTATCTGAGAAACCCTTAATGTGCCTTTATACTCTCTTGGCATAGCCAACCTCAAGCACAATCTTTATTCCCAAGAATGTTGGAAATGTGGCCTCTGGGGACAGCAAGGCCATCCCACAGCACTAGTGGCAGAACTATTGTTCTTCTAGCCATGCCCTCTATGGCAGCTATGGTTTGAGAATAACTATTACATATTCTGAAGATTTCAAATTTTGCTTATGGGCTCAGAAAAATATTTCAGTATTACTTGACAGTATTAAAGTATCATAAAGAAAAAAAAATGGAACCTGGGCAGTACAAATCGTGAAATCACATCAGAATGAAAAGTCACCTGGTGTTTTGGTCCAGCAACTGTTTGACATTGTGAAACTCTTCACTTTCCACATTTAAAGCATCAATCCTGCATCTCAAAGCCCGATACTTAGAAAGGGATGATGAGTTAGGAACTGACATGTTTATTTCATAAATATTCAGCATATCTCTAATCAGCTGTAAAAGTAAGATGGAATCCAGAGTTGTTACATTTCTATGACAAAGCAAAGGTTACTTATCAATTAATTAAAATATTTATTCCACTTTTTGCCCCTAAGAAGACTGAAAAGTGTGAAGTAATGCAGCTCAGCTGCTTGAAGTCTTCAGAACAGTACCTGTAAAGGACCCTTTCAATTATGGTTTTATAATTCTATGATATAATCTGAAGTAATGAAATAAATAGGTTTATTCTAACAAATCAAGGGACTAGAGTCTTAAAGAATGTTAAATTAATAGCCCACATTTAAAAGGTATGATTAATTCACCTAAAGAATCTTCTTGTCTCTATTGGATGTCCCACGGAATGTGTAATAAGGGCTGGGTTTCAACTTGTATATGTTGGAAGTGTAATATATGGAAAAGATACTGACTTATGTAATATATAAACATGAACCAGGGACATGTGTGTGTGTGCGTGCATGTGTCAAAGAAGTCAAGATAGCTACAACTATACAATAAAAGCTTGCCCCCTTTTTGAGTGTTGTATAAAAAGGGGTGGGCTTCAATCACATTGTAAAAGCCACCATTTTGACATTTTTTAACCTCCCCAGGACATCCCTGATGTGGACAGCAGCTATGATTATTTCATTGCAACGTAAAAAGTCCTACGGGATCTGACTGAAAACCCTGAACTGTGGACATGTTTATATTTGGCACATATTAATTTTTTAATTGATATCTTGAAAAATCTGATTAATATGACCCCATGCAATCAAATTTTAACTTATTTATGGCTTGAATTCCATCATACATAGATCTTTTTGTGTGTTTCTTGCTTTAGTCCTGTTTTTGCATCCTATTCTTTGTAATTTTATATAATTTTGTTTTTGGCTTTTGTTTCTATTCCTTTCAATCACAGATTAAAATCAACTTTAAAAAGAGATTAGCTAAGTAGTGGCACCTGCTGAGGTTCAACCAAGTATTCTAAGTTGAAAGCCTATACTCACCAGCTACTCACCACCTGCAATTTCAACAACAGTAAGGCACAAAGGAATGTCTCCTTAAGGGCCAAACTGACCTTCCCCAACCTGATATATATTCCAGATAAATTAATTGTACTGCAACTCCCACAATTCCTAGCCACTGGCCATGCCTCACAGAGAGAGCAATATAAAAATCAACTAATCAAATAACTTTGAGAGTTGTAATTCAGCTCATGACCTCAATATCTCAAGTGATTTTTTTTCCTATGATTTTGACTAAAACATAGCAATTTTGGAGTATCCTTCAAGCATGAGGCCATATTTGCAGTTTATTTAACTGCTATGAAATCTATTATGTTAATGATTCTGCTTATATATAGGAGGCACTGAAAAGTTGAACAAAATCTGTTACCTGACAGAGATCCCGCTTATTAGATAACAACTTTTTGCTAACATCATAATCCAAAATGTTTTTGTGGGGTATGATTTTGTAGAACTCTGATATGATTGTGGACAGCTCTGTTGGAGACTTTGTTTCATCCAGGGCCTCCTTTGCCTGACGAAGGATGCCTTCAGCTCTGCTCACCTTTTAAGGAAATATATTAAAAGGCTTTCTTTAAGAGAAAGAAACATTAAAAGGTATAGGAAGAACAAACTGATGAAATCTCCTGCCATCTTCTGAATTTCAGTGCATGGCAGAGAGCTTCCCTCCACAAAACCTCTCACCAGGTGTGCAAACTACTGTACATCTAATAGTATGCTATGAGAGAAAAATAATATTTTGGTTACTATTAATGGATAGTCACATCCTAATCTGATCTTTAAGATGCTAAAATACAATTCTTATTGCATTAGCCAACAGAATATAGTGGGATGTAATCTCCAACTTTCAAACTAATGAATGTGCTTTTCAAATATGTTTGCTGCAATATAGTGGGTGAAGTAAGTCCATGTAGCTACATTATATAATGGTGGGGCAAACAATGTAGCCCAGCTTAGGCACCAGCCAGATCCATGGACTTCAGCCTCTAGAATTTGGTAGCAGCACAATCATTGCTTCGAATTCTAGAAGCTGAGAGCAGATAGGCTGTGGAAAGCTGATAGAACCTTTAATGATCAATCTCCACCAAGAGGAGTGGAGCGATTATTGGACTGGAAAGACCTGGGTCCAAGTCCCCATTTGACCATAAAGCTCAATGAATAACTTTCAGGCAGTCACTCTCTCTGAGCTGTGGGAATAAAAAGAGGGAGAAGGAATCCCCATGTACCTTGCCTTGAGCTCCCAATCAAAGGTGGGTATAAGCGCAACAAAATAAATAATTAGGTTAAAGTAAAATAAGACAGGATTGTTTGGGTGCAGTATCTGCACACATTCCACAGTCACATAGCTTAGTAATTCCCATACAATGTGTGCTTCAACAAGGTTATAGTGACATCAGAATTTATGCAATTATGTGATATACATGTTTCATGACATCTTAATCCCAACTGTGCAGAACACTGTCACAACCTAGGGATAAAAAAATACGTTTGCCTAACATTTAATTTCTGTTCACATGCTCTAAAAGAACTAATACTTTCAAGCAAAGTTGTCATACATCATTGAAGCTGATCCTTGTTATGGGTTTATCTAACAGATCATTCAGGTGTCCGACGGCTTCAGTCCAGATAAGTTCCACAAGCCTACCAACTTCTTTAGATAAAACGCTGGAATTAACGGTGTCTGCTATAAGCACCTGTAAATAAAGAATTACAACCAAGATGCTAAAAGACAGTCCGCAATAAAGAACAGTTTAAAATAAAGCCAGTTCAGTAATTAACTACACAGATTAACTGCATTCAGGATTGCACAATACATTCAAAATATTAAAAATTATGAACAGAATCTATCTCTACTTTTACCCTCAAATGCATTTTTAAAATGTGTTTAAAATTCCTGAAACAGAGCTGAATAAAAGCCATCTAGTTTTTTAAAAATATATATCTATTTTTAATTGCAGCTATTAGTAAGGTGCAATCCATAAGCATATTGTGCCAGTGGGTATATGCTGCTTATTTCTGTACTGAAGACCTCTCCATGCCTAGGAGTCTGCATAAAGGACTACAGAACTGCTTCTGGAATGACAAGATACCATTGCATACAGGAGGGCTGTGAAATGCTCTAGATTCAATTCCAAACAGCAACCCTGTTGGATATCCTCTTTGAATTAAACAAATTACTAAATGGTATTATCTCCTTGGCTTGTTTCTCTTACATTTCTTGTCTGCACTCAACTAGGAAGACATTTAGTGGTTAAGGTGACCTAAGCTAATTCTGGCAACTAAAAAAAGAAGCAATTGCTATGAGAAAAACTAGTATTTAGATTTTGCTTTACATGAAAGACCAGTACTGTAGAAATCTGAGCCTTGGAAATCTTTGAAGTCTTCATCATTTAGTAAAGACATTAAATAAAAGAGTTAAAAATTATGCCAACCTCTTGCAATTTTTCTGATGCCAAATATTCTGCTTGGTATGGAAAGTCTTTTCTTAATTCAAAACCCATCTTCTTTAGATCTTGAATACAAAGGGCATAGATTTTTCTAGCTTCTTCAGAAGTCTTAGTTGGCATCAGTCGTTTTTGTTTCTAAGAAAAAAGTATGCCATTAAAAATCATTAATTTAAAAATAAGGGAAAAAGTTCATAGAATACCCACTACTTATCTTATGCTATGATGCAAAAGGCTGTCATTTTGAAAGGAATGTGCTTGTTCTAAACTTCTGTCACAGTTCTGGACTTGAGAATAGTAAGTCTTGACAAATCTAGTTATTTACACATCATACTGATACCCTGCAAGTATCACCACCCCACTAGTTGGGAAGTGGTGAGGGGAGAAGCAGCTAATACTAATGGCTTCTTAGTACATGGGCACCTGCAGAACAACTACTCCAACCTGAATCAGCCTGATCTATTAGGTGATCCAGGAAGAAACTGCTCTTATTGCCCCACTACCAGGAATTGGAGGGAGCTGAAGCGAAGAGGTAGTTTTTCAGTGGCAGTTCCAATCCTCTGGAACAGTCTACCAGTACAGATAGACTGGCCTTCTCCTTGATGGCATTCAGGAGGATGCTGATAAATATTGGCTTGCTATAACAATGAGTGCTGCAGTTACTGCTTTAATTATATCCCCTACTTCCGCAGAAACATTTTGCGGATGGAGGAAGTTGAACTAGTTCAAAAGTTGAATATTTTGTGGATGGAGGAAGCTGAAGTCAGATAATTCTGACTAATCTGAAAAGCATAATAATAATTATAAACAGTAACACAAGCTTATAATAATAACACTTATGTCAGGCCCAGCCCAAGAATGACAATGAGGCAGTCCAGTCCAGTATAGTTCCTTTATTAGCTTGCACCTAATAGACAG